TTAATTAATTTACACCAATAGTATAAGACTATACTATTGATCACTACCGCCTTACACATGCACGCATCTATGCCATTATAACATGAAATGGTGTTATGGGTGAGATGACATTGAGGTGACACCTCTTAACATAATTATAACATGGGGAACACCATCCCCCTTTCATGTTAAGTGATGTTATGTTAAGACATGTGGACGTGATAACATATTGTAACTCTCTCTCTCTCTCTCTCTCTCTCTCTCTCTCTCTTAACAGCATGTTATAACATGGGAACACCACCCTCACTTCATGTTATAACATGTTGGAAGGCGATGTTGCAAAGTTTGGGTGTTATATTCACCTTCCCGTTGCTCATACCTTATAACATAAACATAAGGTATAAATATAAATATTTTATTTAAAAATGATATTTTTTATTACATAATAACTAATAAATAACATCTAATAATTATTTTCCCGTAAGAAATTATTTGCCAAAAAAAAACTATTTATCACCGCCGCCTTGTGCGAGTACACATCTATAGTTACATTATGTATATAAGTAATTGATATGACACTTTTCGTTAATGATAACACATAAAAAAATGCATTTTATAAAAGTACCAACACCATAAATATATATATATCTGTTCCAAAAATTGAAGGCCCCTTAAAATCTAAAGCCCCGTACGATACCGCCCGCACATCCCTACGGCCGCCATTGAATATATTCAAATCATTTACGTGAATCTAAATCCTCACGACTTTTGTTCGTATGTTTATGTTACATGCCGGTGCCATGGTCACGAAGTTCTAGGTGGTACCAATTATATTAGAGGTTCTACACCTTGTTAAGGCTCAAGCTCGATGGAAGCTCGGATATGTATCTTTTTGATACTTTTTAATCATTCATGGTTAGTTAAATTGTTTTTTCGTGTATGCTAAGATAATCGTGATTTTGAATATTTTTATCTTTTATTAATTTATTTGATTTGATGTACTGTAAAAAAAAAGCTGTGTACAGCTGAAACTAATTACAAGAAGTTATATGTGTATATCTTTTCTTCTTTGCTTTACTTTAAAACACATAACACGACTAAAACGTCAAAAAGAAATAATAAACATAAGGAACATACATGGTTAAGAGTTACGAACAGTTGGGACCGCGAAGTTCAAAAGAAGACTAGTTTTCAATCCTTATGACTAGGAATTCGGCATAACCAGATCATGCACCGACATTCATGAATGTATAGAGTTAAGTAAATTTGTCAACAAATTTTTCACTTGTATTATTTACGATTATATCCCCACGTCTATTTTAATGATTTATAGTGACATTATAATTATAATAATTATGAATTTGATTCCAAGTGGTTACTAATTTTTTTTTCTTATTTGAATAAATATATAAGTAATATTATACGTTTACCAGTATTATCTGTGTGTTATGTACTACTTGTATAAATATGATAATATTATTGGGTTAAGAATTGTATTGGATATAGATTGCATTTAGTATAAGTCTGGATTAGTTATATTAGACTGATAAAAAGGTGTTTAGTTCCCCATAAGTTGGACATTAGATAGGTCTCATTCTGGGGTAGAGTGTGAGATCAGATAGTGGAGTGTCGTATTCCTCCTATTTCTTGGATGACCAGAAATTGTGGGTCCAAATCAGACAACTGGCCGGCAAGTATGCCTGGGTCATCGACCAGAGTTATTAACAACATTTGACTATTCTAGGCGGTCTAGTGAATTATGTTGCTAGTATGGACTTATAACCCATGGACGTAGATAAAATAGGATACCATATTTATCAAATCTCTGAACATGGTTGCCTTTATATGACTTACACTGACCAAGGATTTCCCCGACGGTGTACTCAAACAGTTGCTCAAACGATTTATCAGGTTTGGTGATTCCTCCAGATAATCGTTGCTTTAGGATCTGGGAGGATCGGTTGGGTTGGGTAGTTGTTCTTAGGTTAAATTTATATATAATTGACATAATTGTTTGAAGGAATGATATTATTTATTATCATTAAATTATTATGAGCTTGAAAACCCTATGCATCTCACCAAGTTTTCTTAAACCTGACTCACTCATTTTATGCATCACAAGTAGCGAATGTAAGGCTGTCGAAGTCTAATTAGGATGTTGAGTGGAATAAAGAGATGTGCATGTAATAAGTAGTTTCAGGACCTTTAATATTTACGTTGTAGTGTATGTTTGGATATGAAAGATGACATCATCGAGGTTTTAAATAAATGAAATAACTTTTGTTATCTCAAAAGTGTTTTGTTTCATTGAGAATTTCTGCATCTTAATTTATAAAACGTAAAGAAAATGTTTTAATTGGTTCTGAAAAATGGGGGATGTCACACTTGTGATTTACATATGAATCACTACACACTTATAGTCTTGCTTCTAATTAATTACTAAAATATTATACAAATTCACACAAATCACAAAGCACATGTGATTTACATGTGAATCACTACACACTTATAGTCTTGCTTTTGAAAAATGGGGGTTCTTGGGCCATATTGGGCCTTAGAGGCCTTGTAATTGGGCTTGGATGCCTTTTGGGCTTTTTATGGATTTAGGCCTTAGGGGGAGGGAGGCCCATTGAGGCAGGGGTAAAGGAGCCCTTTTTGCCTTAAGTCAAGAATTAGGATTTTGGACTTGAGTTCGAGATCATCACTTTAGAAGAAGAAGAGCAATCATAGGAGAATAAGAAGTCATTCGTTCATGAAGAAACCCTAAATCGATTTTTAAAGGAGGAATATATCATTTATTGTTTTGTCAATAATTATTATGCCATGTCATAATAGTTAAGTCAAGTCATCATTTAACCTGTAAGAGCTAGTTACCGGTGGGTAATATTTGAACAAAACATATGGTTTGTTGGTGTTTTTTGTACAAAAAGTTTACGTGGATGGTGTTTTTTGAACGATTTTGAAACATAATTACCCCTTTGAGTCATTTTTACCCCTTTGAGTCATTTCCTCTTGTTTTTTTCCTTTACTTATTTTTTACCGGTAATTGCCGGTTACCACAAGGTCAAATTTGAACAAAGAATGTACTTCGTTGGTGTTTTTTGTACAAATGCTTTACTTGGATGGTGTTTTTTGGACACACCAAACTTGAATGGTATTTTTGGAACAATTTTGAAACATAGTTACCCATATAAGACATTTTCCCATTACAAAACCACTAAAAATGTTGGACTTAAGAAATAAGAATCAAATTAATATTACCACTTGAAGATGAACCAAAATCGAATCTGCAACATGTGTTATTAACATCAGACCTTTTCCAAAAATAGTAAGTTCATTTTGACTTCAGAGATTGATAAAAAATTGAGATTACTGTTTAATAATGGAAAATAATTGTTAAATAAAGTGGAGTAGAACGGTAATCAAACAAACCTGGATCGATGTTGTAGAGACTGGATCAACATGGTTATATCCATAAAAACTGGAAAGCAAATGTCGATTGATGTGTAGAGATTGCAACGATATCGTGAACCACAATCTTAACACACTTGATCTCCCTTTCAAAGTCAATATATGACCGATAGACTGGATTATGGAGAGATTAGTTTAATGAAGCAACGATAGATAAGTTCCAAATCTAGATGGAATTATGGAAGCGCGGAGGTCATGGATTCAAAATCGGTCGAAGATGAGAGATAGACAGTTCACATTCAGAGGCGCCCATGGATTTCGGGTGGTGGTTATGGATTAGGAACAATCGCCGATGAAGCTGTGAGAGAAAGAAGGATGGTGAGTGAGACGATCGAGAGTTTGGGAGAAAGAGAATCGATTAGATTTGGGGGAATGATCTAATTTCCAGAATTAATTTTTTGTTTTTTATACCAATATCACCCTTAGGATTATGTTTACAAAAACCTAATATGCCACTAAACATACTCATATTTACAATATATGCCACTGATCATTTAAGCCATCAAAACAATTGATTAAACGTTTCACTTTTAGTTCTCGGGTTGTCATAAAACTATGAGTTCTCAAATGATCATCTCTCTCTCTCTCTCTCTCTCTCTCTCTCTCTCCAACATTTATATGATAACTTCAGGAAAAAAAATCAGCCAAAAGTTTTTAAAACCAATACCACCATACAACCTTAAATACATCGTCTATGCAAGTCGCACGGCCCAAATCATGAAAAAATATGAAAAATGAAAAGAAAAATATAAATGTGCATATATGTACATTTGAATCTGCATACACAGATGTATATATGTGCATATATGCACATTCAAATATGAATATATACACATTACAAAAATAAAAAAAAAATCATTTTTTAGTAATTCGTAGCTTGCGATCAAACCTGGACGATGGGACTAGGGTTCAATAGTTGTGTTAGGCTTGAAAATTTTTGACAGGATAAAAAGTATTCAAGTTCTTACGTAAATATTAAATCTTGAAAGAACTTACTATAAACTTCGTTTGTATTCACAACAATTTCAAATGTGTGAATACTGATACTCCACGTCGTGGGTTGGAACATCTTGATTACGTTGATTTTTCTTCCCATAATGTTATTATATGAACCTTTAACCTATGTTAGATGATGATCCGATGCTTAATGTTACAAAAGATAAAGAAGATGAATGAGGTTTTCTTGGGTTGGTGATCGACTATGTCTTTGACAAATGATGGTGTACACATCAAAAACTCAATTAATGTTGGAGTTTTATGGCGACAAATTGTTGGGCGTATCAAGTTCCAAATGAAAAAGGACAACTTTGCCCTCATGTGAGGTACACAAGCCCTTCATTAACGGTGTATATTAAACGCTAATAGACTGTGCGGTAGGATTTGGAAACCACAAGGAACAACCATAGCAATTTTTCCAAAGTTGGACCAAATGTGAAGATTGGAGCAAACAATAGGACCAAAACTGTAATTTATTCCATATGTAACAAATTGTGTAAGCAACAAGTATTCCAGAATCAACTTTGGTCACTTCTTTACATTTCATCGTTGACCAAGTCTTATGTTGAAATTTTGACAACAAAATTCATCCGCTATAAATTCAGCATCACACAATATCCAAAAACATGTAGTCCCAAAATGCCTTCTTTTTCACCTTCAAAATTCACCTCCGTCTTCCTCGTATCAGTAATTCTATCATTCAGTTTGACCACAGTAGCCGAAAACCGAACCACGAACATAGGAGTGATCATCGATGAAAGAACCCGAGCAGGAAAAGAACAAAAAACCGCCATTGAAATCGCTGTCCAGAAGCTCAATTCAGGCTCCAAAGATCACAAGTTAGCGATTTATTTTACGAATTCTAGTGGAGACCCTCTTGAAGCCGCTTCTTCTGGTAATAATTGAACTTTTTGATTTTACTAGTGAAGATCCTCTTGAAACCATTTATATTTATATTAAACTTTCTGTAGGGGGTCATATTTGTTGATTATTTATTACAGTTCGACTCATATTCCCTCTATTTGTCTTCTTATATATCTCGAATTGCAATAACTAAAGCTTTGAAAATTTTGTATGTTGATTGTTGTAGCGAACGAATTGATCGAAAAGCAAAAAGTGCGGGTAATAATTGGGACGAATTCATGGGAGGAAACTACAGTAGTAGCAAAAGTAGGAGAACGAGCTCGAGTCCCTGTTATTTCATCGACTACTGCCACTTTACAACCACTATCGCATCTTCAATGGCCTTTCTTGGTACAAATGACTGATCTTGATATATCTAACGAAATAAATTGCATTGTATCACTCATAAAATCTTATAATTGGAAACGAATCATTGCGATTTATGAAGACAATGTGTATGGTGGTGAATACGAGGGTTTCTCGATATTATCCGAGGCACTTCAAAAGATCGATTCCATAATCGAACACCGTCTAGTTGTTCCTCATTTCACTTCTCCATTTGATCCAAAAGAGACTATTCGCGACGATTTAGCGACAGTTTTGACAACAAAGCAATCACGGGTTTTCATTGTGTTGAAGTCGTCTTTATCGACTGCAACTCGGGTATTTGAAGAAGCTAATAAACTCGGATTAACAGGGAGAGACTCGGTTTGGATTCTTGGAAATGGGTTTTCAAGTATTCTTGATTCAATCGACCCATTGGTTTTTCGACCCGTGGAAGGTGCTTTAGGAATCAAGACTTATTATTCCGACAAAAACCCACGATTTTTAGAGTTTAGATCCACCTTTAAATCAATCTTCAAATCGAATTATCCTGACGAGGATAAATCCGAGGCATGTATCTACGCTATACGTGCATACGATAGCGTAGAAACTGTCTGGCGTGCGGTGGATCGTTTAGGAAATCTAAACGATACAGACAGTGGTTTCCAAGAGAAGTTGTTGGATACAATTCTATCCAACAACTTCTCTGGTTTAACCAATACGATAGCTTTCAAGGATGGAAAACTATCAGAACCTCAAGTGCTTCAACTAGTGAATATAGTTGGAAAAAGTTATAAAGAGCTTGCATTTTGGTCACCCGGGTCGGGTTTTTCGAATACTAGTTTAAAACAACTATCTATAATTTGGCCCGGGGATCTAATAAACCGAATTCCAAAAGGATGGACAATGCCTAACAATGTGAAGAAAATGAAGATTGGTGTTCCCGACTCGACTTCATTCCAAAGGTTTGTGAAAGTCGAATGGATCGAGAGTACAAACGAGACCAAATATTCCGGTTTTTGTATCGCGGTTTTTAGGGCTGTTGTCGCTACTTTGGAGGAGCAATATGGATACACGTTACCTTACGAGTTTATAAACCATACGGGCTCCTATGATGATCTGATTGACAAAGTCTATTATAAGGTACTTAATTTCATCATTAGAAAATTTAATTACTAGACATAGATCAACTTATATGATTTGTATTATGCATTGTCTTTGGGCATGAAAATTGTTAATGACAAGCATTCTATATCATAAAGGAAAGTAGGTTGTTATTTCTTGCATTTAGCTCATAGTGGGTCAAATGCCTGAAGCAACAATGTACTTTTATTGATATGTTTATTGGCTTTCATTTCCTTCTTTAAAGCATTATAGCTTTGATAAATCTACCTAATTATAGAAATATCTTCAATACAAACTAATTTTCATTGTGATAATTAGATAGATTATAAAATACAATGTCGTAATGAGACAAAAAAAATTGTTCATATAATGCTAATAATTGGATAGATTTTTTAAAGTACGATGTTATGAAAAAAAACATGGAAATTCGGTTCCCTATTGAGAAAAAGAATTGAAAGTACAATTTTATAATATAAAGAAATGAATGTATCATAATGCTATAATACACAATTAAATGAAAGCACATTGCTATTTCTTGCATTTAACCCTTTAATATTTGTCATTTTCTATCAAACATCAAAAGCACAATGAACCAACCATATAACAATGTTTCACATTTTTCCTAATTTAGCATTTTGTCCTTCAATATTTCACATTTTTAGATGAACACCAAACATCAATTTGTGCATTTTTCCTAGGTACAATGTTTGCATATTTTCATCCTAAATGTGGTTGCATATTTCTTTTAAAAACCACTTTATTGCATAAATAATGAAAATATGCAATATTGTTGCATAAAATGAGCATTTAATATGAAATATTACCAACCGACTTGACCTAATGATGTTTGTTGTTTATGCATATTCGTTCGATGATAAGACATACGATGCGGTTGTTGGTGATGTCACAATACTCGCAAACCGCTCAAAGTACGTTGAGTTCACGCAGCCATTTACAGAGTCGGGGTTGTCGATGGTGGTGCCAGTGAGAACGGACCCACAAAGGGCATGGAAGTTTATGAGACCATTCACGATAGAGATGTGGTTAGCCTCCGGTGGCATATTGTTCTACACAATGTTTGTAGTGTGGTTCATGGAGCACCAAGTGAATCGAGAGTTTAGAGGACGATGGATGGATCAACTCGGGACTGCATTATGGTTCACCTTCTCTTCTCTTTTCTTCTCACATAGTAAGTAATTCAGTTTAATTTTATTTGATAAAATTAAGTGTTATAAAAAGTTACGACTTAATGGAGAAAGCCCTACTTTCTTTATTGAGTCGTTATCTTTATTAAGTCGTTATCTATGCATTAAGTCAGACAGAAACACTCATGTATGCACATGGCTGTTTCTTTTTGACTTAATATGGATAAAATGATTTAACGGATTAAGCTAAGAAATTCGGCTTAAAGTATTAAGACATCAACGTTTTACCTATTTTTGCTTCTTCTTTTCTTGCACCCAATGAGAAAGATACTTATGATATGGAAATATGATTATAGGAGAGAATATAAGAAGCAATCATAGCAAGGTGGTTGTGATGATATGGCTCTTTGTCGTGTTCATTTTAACCTCAAGCTACACGGCTAGTCTTACGACAATGCTCACGGTTCGTATGCTAGAGCCCACAGTGCAAGATATCGAGTTGGTAAGGAGAGACAATGCACCCGTGGGATGTGATCCAGATTCTTTCGTGGGCAAGTACTTAACGGATGTTTTGAACCTCAAAAATATCAAGAACATAACAAGCCAAGACGAATATCCCGAAAATTTCAAAAACGGAAATATAGTGGCCGCATTTCTCGAGCTCCCCTATCAAAAATACTTTCTCAAAGAGTATTGCAATAAGTACATGGCCATTGGTCCTTCGTACAAATTTGGCGGTCTAGGCTTTGTAAGTATACAAACGCGCAATTCTTTTTTACACAGGACATGACATAACATAACAATATTGTATTGTATTTGGTAAGCAGTGAGTTAGACCAAGATATCAATGATACAAACTTATAACTTTTTGTCCACCACTAAAAAAATGGGTCATTGATGTCACCCGAAAAGTGGGACATAAACTAATGTCAATAAAACAAAAATTACAACTTTTTTGTCCAACCCCAAAATGTGAGACATAAAATCATAGACCGAGTTCAATGAAACAAAATTATAGTTTTTTGTCCAATTCAATAAGATGGGATAGAAGCTCACATTAATAAGATAAAACAATTCCAATTTTTTGTCCCTTCCAAAAAGATGTGACATGGATTTGCTCTCGGTTTCCATCATTGCAAAAGACATGAATGTCCTCGTCATCAAAAATAACCCTAGAAAACTTGTTCTATCCTGTGTAACAAATGCTCCGATAACCGATGATGTCTTTTTTGTGTATCTTTGCAGGTTTTCCCGAAAGATTCTCCGATAACCGATGATGTGTCAGGGGCAATTTTATCCCTCTTGGAAGAAGGTAGGATTATCGACATGGAGAACCAATGGCTTGATACATCCCAAAACTGTTCAAGTTCCGATTCCGGGGTGGAATCGGAAAGACTTAGCCTCGATAATTTTTGGGGAATATTCGTCATATCCGGTGCCACTTCAACACTAAGCTTACTACTTTTCCTCTATCGGTTGCTCCACAACAAAATTGAACAACGCATTATTAGCTACCACGGCTCTCGATGGAACAACAACAATGAGAGCCGTTTTAGAAGAGCAATCAGACTTGTTATGATAATGCTTAGTTTGAATCCTAGTCGAGTCCAACCGAGAGAAAACTTGGAGTCATCGCAGGAATGGAATCATCAAAACCCACCACAATGGGAATTGGTGAGTCCCACGGAGGTCCCGGAGCATTTGGAAATCGGTAGGCCTACTCAACTTGAAATTCCCATGAGAAAGATGGAGCATAATATGACGATGTGAGATTGGAATGATAAGTGATGGGAAAAAGAAGATATGAAAGGAGAAAGTAGTCTTTTACACCAAATTCGGATTTAGGATGTGGATGGAAACCACCGTAACGTATACTTTCAGAAAATACCTTGTGTATATATATTTATTTATAACTTGTATTTGTTTGTTCTTTTTATTATTATTATTATTTTAAAACCTCTTTCCATTTTCCAAGCATGATGTTACTTTATCTATTATTATTGCAAACTTTATAATATTTAGTTTTTACGGAAGTACAATGCTCTAAGGAGATTAGGATGCTATAATAAACAAATCAATATAAGAATTGAAAGTAATGTTCGTATAAGCAGAAAATAAGCAAAAAAATAAATAAATAAATAAAGTAAAAGATATATTTGAGTCTAGTATCTTTTCCAAGCATACTTGTTATAGACATGTGTGTTCATTAATGTTTAGAACTTAGAAGGAGATAAAAGGCATTTTTTGTGACTTCACAAAAAAAATGTTTTTTAAACCCAATACTAATTAGCAAAATCTTTATGATCAGTGTACGACTATTATTTTTCCGATTAATACTACTTTTAGGCCTAAAAAAGACTCTTTTTTCACAATCATTGTAGTAAAGGCAAAGTTGTAAAATCTATTTTATTGTGGCAGAAAAGTAGATTCAGAAGTAAATATGTCGACTAAAGAGGTACTTGATCAAAATTATTGATTATAGCAATGTACTTTAATTTTTACTAATAACAAACAACCTAAATTACTTTTTCCCAATTATAGCAACATACTTTAAATTTTACTCATAGTAGGAACCTATTTCCAATATATAATAGCAATATACTTTACCTAAATTTTCGATTATAGCAACATTATATTGGTTGTTATAGTTGTGAAGAAATTGAAAGTATGTTACTGTTATGAGTAAAATTTAAAATATGTTGCTATAATTAGGGATTTTGGTAAGGTATGTTGATATTTCTTGTAATTAACCAGAATTTTGGTAGTATACATTCCTATAATTGGGACTTTAGTAACTCAAAAATTTGGGCTTTTCTTCATGAGGTATAACGGACCCGTTGTCTTATTTTGTGGGTCGATTCCTTAATTTCTTCAATGTAGGGTTAAATGCAACGAATACCAACCTAGTTCCATTGATTTATTTATTATGATAGTCTGTTTTCATTTGTTTCTATTACAACATTTTATTTAAAAAATCTACGATATTATAGCAATTTCCTTTAAATATAAAAAATTGACCGCTATAATCGGATATATTTATCAATTACAAATGTCTAAATATGATAGATAAAATAAAAATACAATGGGAAAAAAATTTCAAGCACATTGCCTTAGTAAGAAAAGAACTGAACCTAAAATGATAGTATAATAGAAAGAAATGAAAGTTGGATGCCGTAATACAAAAATAAAATATAAATACGTTGTTCTTTCTTGTTTTTAATCGGTTTAAATAAAGATGTATACAAAGGAACCATCGACATTTGAAGGAATCATCCATGTATAACGTTGCACATTAACAATAATCACACGTGGTATGTTTAATTAAAAAAAAAGTTTCAGCCTATATTTAATGTTTTGGCTATTTGTTGTGATTTGCTTACAAAATAACGTGTAATTACTAATTACCTTTTATTAAACAACAAAATTACAGAGTAATCTATAATTGAAGTCTGTACCTACATTTGCAAAAACATGATAATTGCAATATCGTGGAAACATGGGTCGGGTCTTGGTTTAATATTTGGTTGGGGCATTGGGCCTAATATAATATTGTTAATTTGGGCTGATATTAAATAAAAGTATAAAACTAAGCAGTTAGTGGGCCGAAGACCATACATTAACATGCAGGCTAGGCCTGCTATATTACTGGTGGATTGGATTGGTCGTGGAACAAGGTTGAGTTTGAATTCTTTTGGTATACTTGGACTTGGACATTAACTTTTTTTACAACTTAATCTTGTAGACCTTTGAGTTGGAAATTATTAGTATTAGAAATTGATGTCTTTTTGTTATATTTGGGAACTTTAAACGTTTTTAAAGTTATTAAAACTCATGAATCTATTTTGTTTGTATAAAAAGAAACATAAACACAAACCTCAAATGGTGGAACTTGTAATATTTAAAAAATTTGTTGTTAAAGAATGCGATATATTATATATAATAGATTAATTTTAGATTCCCTTAGGAACAATAAAGTTCCTAAGGGTTTGACATAATTGGTCATTCTATTTTGCCTATTAACCATTTTGGATTTTTTTAACTAAAGGGTTTGACATAATTGGTCCTTCTATTTTGCCTATTAACCATTTTGGAATTTCTTTTTTTTTTTCTTTTTTTTTTAACTAAATAAAGTTCAATACATGTCGATGGGGAATTGCCCAATTTTTTCTTTAAGTTGCAATTTCGTTCCTTTTTATGTTATTTGTATTGGATCGGTCATTCCTTCTCGATCCTTCTGCACCGTCATTCTTTTCTATCAATTTACTCATTCCACCGCTTTGAACCTACTCCACGTCCGTTCAGGTCCAGAGCTACCATCTACGTGGTGTTTTTTCATCTAAGCTTCTATTGCCCACGCAGGAGATAACACTGACAATATGTTAGCGATTGAATCGTCTCTCTGCTGCCACCATCACCATCTGTCGCCACCTCCATCTATCTATCAACGTCACCTAATTATATTGGTTACGAATCAGACCCTAAGAACTTGAAGGGGGCGGTGTTCACTGCGGTTTCACATGCCACGTAGGCTGAAAACGCACTTCACTCCCTCTGGTCTCAGCCCTTTTGACTACTACGTAAGTTCGTTTGCAGTTACTTTAAGGCATAAAAAATAACCTTATTTTCGTAATATTGAAATATTGGATTAGTTGGTATGCGAATGTTGGTTTCAAAATCCACGTTAGGGAAGTTCACTTTACAAAAATAAAAATTAAAAAATAATCAATTTAGAGTACTATTCTGTGTATTATTTTGCCGTTAAAAATGTAATATTTAAGGAATTGATAACTGGCCCCTTTTCTAAAAACTTGCTAATTCCAACCTCTTTAATTCTTTGCCATTTTGATACTTTTGGTCCTTACAGTGAAATTTTTTACATTTTTTCATAAAAAACACAAAAAACGGCCCGGGGCGAAGCCCGGGTTTTTCCGCTAGTTTTTATCATAAATGTATAAGCCTTATTGGTATGCTTGGTGAGTTGGGCTACAACGAGACACACTCTCCTGACCATGCAATCTTGCAATACATCATAAATATGATGTGCATGTAACAAATTTGACAAAACGTGGGCCATGCGATATTACCCCTTTGAAAGTAGGTCCCACCTTATATTTTACTAAAACAAGTGATGTTGATGAAATAACCCTTTTTGACACTATGTTTTACTGAAAAATCTTATAGTGGCACTTAGGTAGGGTTAATGTCATAAATGACAATCAATAATAGACAGTTAGTTTACAACAAGTCACAAATATTTTTTTATCCTTATTACATCATTGGGATAGATTTCAACCAGCTAAACTAATATACACCGTGACATTCGATATAAAAGAAATTATTCATTTAGGTCTACCGATTGTGTACACTGTGGCATCCGATATAACATAATTATCCGATTGTAATGCACTTTAATGGTGTAACGGGAACCAGAAAAAAGTTTAGTAACATAACGAATACAATTAAAAGATTAATGACCTAAAGAGCAAATTGTGTTTTATTGATTGTTATTTTATCATATATACTTATTTATACATCATGAACCCAAGTTATATTTAGTTCTTGGTCCAACACTACTGTAAGAGATGTTGATGAGATAGAATGTGTACTCGTTCTCTAGACTTTTACTAGTGCTAAGTAGATAGCTCAAAATTAGCTTTTATCATGTTGTTAAATCATTTTATATTGTTGATTTTAAGTTAAATTGAGATTGAAACCTTGACTTATTCTTTATTTTAAAAAACAATATAATGATATATGCAACCAAAATATTTAACGTCGGTTGCAGCTATAAAGGAAAGAAAAAGACCGATGGTCCGAGGATTGTAACATCGAAGAGTCGGACCACATGGATATAGTAAATACTATACTTCTTTATGTTGGACTTATCTTTGTGTGTCTATTTTTAACTACCAAAAGCCTACTTGTGTGATGTTCAAGTGGACAATCGTATTTAGTTATAACAATAATGATGATAGATCATGTTCCTAAAGGAGTTACTTCATAGGCCATCATATTTAATCATAACACGAACATATATAGAGAACTTAATCGGTTTTAGCCATTCAATTATGATTTTTTATGATATATAAAAATAGTTTAGAGGTAAACCAATACATGTTTAGTAGTCGAATCAACAAAATGATAAATATACAGGTTTGTTATGATTTTATGTATTTTGTTATTACATAAAAAAGTGAATAATTAAGATCATGTTTGACGGATAATAGTTTAAAAAATAGTAGTTATTAGTCGATAAAAAATAACGTTGGGTAAAACTAACTAATAATTAGCTGAAATATGTAATTTGACATAAAAAGATATGTAGAATATTAAGTTTTTATATAAATAATAAATGATACATTTTGGATAATTAAAAAAACTCAAAAAATTTGTTCAAATGTTAGCAAAAAAAAAAAAAAAAAAAAAAAAAAAAAAAAAAAAAAAAAAAAAACGTAACTTATAAGCTATTTTTAGTTAGTAAAACATGACAATCTATAAAAAAAAATTGAAAAGTAAACTAGCTTATAAATTAATTGTGGCATGCCGAACACTTTTTTCGGAACTTTATTATAATACCAAATAAACTACTAAATACTTTTATGAAGAAACCATTGATCTACCAACATTTAAGAAAACTCTTATATTCTATTTACATGCAGAAAAACCGTTACATTTTCAGTTATCTTTCACATGTAGGGTTGTTCACCATTTAGTTAAAACCGAATTGTCCAATCGGACAATTTGGATTGGCCTATTTGGTTCAGATATTCAGATATTTGGATTGGTTTTAAACTAAACCGAATTATTATTTTGGATTTTGGTTTATAAAATAAGAACAGAATAGTCCAAAAAAACCGAATAACAACTTATTATTATTTTT